TGTGTGTGTGTGTATATATATATATATATATATATATATATATATATATATATATATATATATATATATATATATATATCCTTTCTCTCTTTTAAGATCATTCTACAATTGTGTAAACGTGGTCGTAACTCACACAGCAGAAATGACATAAAGATATCTGTAGGATATCTCTATGATATATTCGAGACATTTCTGCTGTGTGGGAAGTAGTTGTAAGTAATTACAATAATAAATCAGAATAAAGTAATCAATGAATAAAATACTTTAATTGGTTGGCTTTTATATTCACGCTTACGTAATTATAAGATGATCTTTACATATATGTACATATTGTACAAAATAAATATGCTCATATTATCAATAAAAGAACAGGAAGGCAGGAAAAGCTAATTGTGCATTGACCAAACAATTAACAATAAATATATTATTATTATAATAAATATATTATTAGATTGCAAAACTAAATGTACGAAAATTTCACTCATAGTAAATTATACATCGATATTGAAAGAATTCATATATGCTCGTGAGCATATGTGTTCAATGATTTACCGACAGTGATCAACCCAACCTACTAAGTAATTCATGAAAAACTGTCGATAACGAATTGTCGATAACGAGCTGCCGATAAAAAAGTTAAGTTACTACTGAAGATAAAGTAGAAGTTATCGTAATAAAACTACTGTTTTACATTTTTAGAAACATTTTTTTAAGGGATATCATCTATAAAATATTACTAAAAAGGATTATTGTAGATATTTATATTCATCAAACAAGCTCAGTCACCGACAAAGCATTAGCAAAAATTGTCGGCCCTAATTAAAATGTCTTACCTAAATGACTACGAACAAAGTTTAGAAGATAATTATAGACCATTTACTGTACCGACAGTTTTCGGCTGTAAGACATCCTATAGATGGCCTACTAAGCTGTTTATAGATAGAGTCCCTATAGTACGAGTCTGGCTTATATTTCCAGTTCGACAAAACATGGCGTCGTAGATAAGATGAGATAAGATTAGATGATATAAAGGCTGCGTTCCGAAATTCACCGCCAGTATTGAAATTATATAGTATACGTAATATGAACTATAGATTTTCAGTACTGGCAGTGAATTTCAGAACGCAGCCGAAATAAGAGTTCTCTAAGATATGGAGAACTCATACAGCGTGACAGTTATTAGTCAAGATTAATGTTTATAAGTACTAAAGTACTAATAATAGTTATATAAAGAAATAATAAACAGCACAAGAAAATAACTTATAATAAAATAATATATATAAACACTGTAATGCATGCGAATGTGTCGAATAATATGTCAAAAATAATTTTCAAAAATAATGTGTCAAAAATAATTTTCTAACCTGTCATTGTATCGAATGTGTAATATAAGGTATATATAAATTACAGAAAATGATTGAAATGATTGAAAAAACGTTTCTTTCTTTTTTGTTCCTTTCCT